CACGCACGGGTCTTGGATAGCGTCACAGGGGCATGTTTTCCAAGCTTCAGAACTGAAGCAGGTATCCAAACCAAAAGAACCATGTCCCCCACAGCAAAGTAAAAACCCTAAACTTATAGGAACTCAAACAAACAAACAAACAAACAAACAAACTCTCCAGCTTCACAGCCACGGAATCGAAGCTGACTCACAGTGACCCGACAGGACCGGGTAGAACAATCCTGTGCATTTCTGAGACTGAGGCTCTTTATGAGCATTGAAAGGCCCATCTTTTCCCCAAGGTGATTTCAAACTGGTGACCTTATGGTTAGAAACCCAATGTGTAACCATAATGCCACTAGGGCTCCCATGAGATGTTTGGTTTTTTTTCGCCCTCTACTATCTAGGCTGGCTCACAAAAAAGTGTAGGAGTTTGCTGGTTGGATAGGGATGGGTGAAACTCCCACAACTAAGCTCCTTAATTACCCTTCAGGTCTGCCTCAATTTATAGCCAAACAAAAGACAGGTCTGGAAAGGGAACAATAACAGCAGTGAAGCAGACACCTTTCAGAATCATCATAAGACCAAATGGGTAGCATTTCCTCCAGGACAAAGTTCAGAAGGCTTGGAAAAGCTGGAGGGCTGGAAACAAGAAATCCAGGAACCCCAGGAAGAAAGATAAGTGATGGTCCTGTGATGAAAAAGACTGTGAAGAATGGTTGAATGGATAACTTATGCTCTGCTTTGTAAACCCTCAGCCAATCTCCAATAAAATGCTGGTGTTGTTATAAACTGAGTTTTACTTAGAAAGAAGTGTGTGTATGTGTCCGTGAAAAGAATCACCCACGACACTATAAACCCACTGGGTGGAGGCTGATCTTCCAGGGCACCACTGGGAGGCTATTGAATGTGTCTCCTGGCATTTGAGGAGGCTGGGACTTGCCTGGAAAATGGAAAAGCAGGAAGCTGTGACTGGGAACCCAAGGAGGAGTGGCCTGTGCTGTAAGGGAAAGCCTGATCCAATTTTATTAACAAGAGCAAAGAAGGTTTTGTTTATTTTCCTGAACTCCACCCTTGAGAGAGAGTTGGCTGGGTGCCATCTTGAAAGAAACACTGCCCCAAAAGTCTGAACTGACGTGGTAGAAAGTTAGAGATGGGAAGCCAAAGAGCTATGGGTCAATGCTGTGCCTCTGTCCCATTATGGCATTAGAGATGCCACCGGCCAGCCACTGGGAAACTCATGAAAGACCCCCACAAGATAAAGCATCTCACCCAGATGCGACCCACTAGCAAATCATGATTAGTCCAACCCAGTGTGTGTGTGTATTTTTCATTAGGTTCCCTCTCCCCAAACCTCACCCCAGAAAGGGTCAGGAAAAAAAATAGAAATCAATTATTTTTAAAAAAAGATGATGGTAGAAATCTCAGTTTCCCCAGGATCCTCACCCAGTACAGGTACCCAGATGATGCAGACCCGTGCTAGACAGAGGAGAAAAGTTTTGACCTGGAACGGCCTAGTATCATTACCATATGCTGGCACCATTACATAGATCAATGAAGATGCCTCTTGTCAGTAATGGGGAGATTTTCACCATCGGGGGTGACAGGGAAGTGCTATGGAGCCCACATGAGACTGGCTGCTGGGGGGGGAGGGCGGAGACTCAATTGTTTCCTGCATATGCCCTAGGGAATCCCATACAATCACCAAGACATGCACGGAGGGCCATCTTGCTTATACTGGTGGGAGCAGAGGAATAACCGTTAATACCAACTGAATGTTCTATGTAGATGCCTGTGAAGAGCCTCCCCCACATGCACCTGCTCTTTTGGAGGCTGGGAGAGTGACTAAGCCCTTTTAGGAGTGTAATAATTGGGGAAAGGCCCAGTATAGCCGCTCCATACAAACTAGTGAAATGATCCGATACAGGAATCCATTATTTGAAAAATGCCTATTGCTCGTGGTCACCTCTGTCCTTTCTCTCTTGGCTGAACAGTCAGGCTGGATCCCTTATTTTTCAGTCTTGAAGCTAGCAACCCTTGGTTTATTTACGCTATAGCCCGACTATAATAATAATAAAGAAATGTAGTATTGACTTACCACCCGGTCTGGGAATATGGGGGGTCTATCCTCTTCACTGGTTGCAGTGTGCAGCTCAGCATCTGGAAAGGAAACCCAAGGAAGATCAGGAGGAATTTTAAAGAAAGCAAAACAAACACCCAATGCTATGAATTCACAGAATGAGCCAGTTTATAGGAAAGATCCTCCAGATTCAATGCATTTACACACAACACCTGGAGCGATGCTGTCCCTTTCTTGTACGGCACCCAACTTAAATATTGCTTCTCTGCTGATCATCAACGTCCTTCCAAATGCACCTAAAACAATGCAGCTTCCTTTAAACCCTACCATTTCCACTGTGTACTTGAGCCGCGGGTATCCAATCTCATTGTGTAGTGTACATACACTACCTGTGGGTCAGAATCCACATCTGATCCTTCTTTGATTGGCCCATACAAGGTGTGTGGGTCATTTTTTGGGAATAATCAATAACTCATGAAGAAATGAACCAATCGGTTACATGTTCTTTTTCTCTTCTTAGGGTAATTGTTGATTTCTCTTCCTGTCCCCAGATATAGACAAAGTGTGAAGGCACTGTATGCCGTATACATAGATAGCCCATGTGGTTTATTGCTCAAACTGTGAAAGGGTCTACTTTTCATAATTATGGCAGCCTGTCAGGCACAGAAGGGGACTGTCCCAAACAAACTGGGGTAGATTAACAATCTACTTGTAAACTGTGTGCTCTAGAAGTAGAGTGAATCAGGGCATCTTGGAGACAGAAGAGAACAAAACTACCCAACTGTTTCCTTTCTAGCTGCTGTGCCTGTGGACAACCCAGTAGCTCAGCCATGGAGGCTGAAGGAGTCAATTACACTTCAATACCCATAGTTGTCACATCGATTCTAACTCATAGGGATCCTATAGGACAGAGAAGAATTGTCCCACAGGGCTTCCAAGGCTGCAATCTTTATGCAAGCAGCCATCTTCCTCCTGTGGGGCACTTGGTGTGTTTGGACCATCAATTTTCCAGTTAGTAGGCAAGGACTTAACCACTGTGCCACGGTTATGAACGGGAATACCTGCACACTCTGAAGTTTTCTTAAGAAGCTAGCAAGAGAGCCCATGGTACCCAGGACCTCTGCTAGGTACCATCAAGATAGATGGTCTTTTTCCTGCTCCTCCCCAAGGAGCTAGGCCAATGTCATAGCAGACATCTGACTTTCTGGGTAGTGTTATCACACCACAGACCAAATCACCAGGGGAAATGGTAAATGCTCTAAGGCAGTGGTTCTCAACCTGTGGGTCGCGACCCCTTTGGGGCTTGAACAACCCTTTCACAGGGGTCGTCTTAGATCATCGGAAAACACATATTATTTCTGATGGTCTTAGGAACCGAGACACCGCTCTTCTATCTGTCTCCAGGTGGATCCGCCCACATGCAGATACACCCACATACGAGTAGTACCCAGCATGGACTGTTACCCATGGTACCCCACGCTTCAAGACAAAATTTCATTTATTTGTCATTAGAAATAGGTATTTCACAATATGTAATTACATACTGTTTTTGTGATTCATCGCTATGCTTTAAGTATGTTCAATTTGTAACAATGAAAATACATCCTGCATATCGGATCTTTACATGATGATTCATCACAGTAGCAAAATGACAGTTATGGAGTAGCAACGAAAATCATGTGATGGTTGGGGGTCACCACCACATGAAGCACTGGATGAAAGGGTCACGGCCTTAGGAAGGTTGGGAAGCACTGCTCTAAGGAGACATCCCTCCTCAGCCCTCCCAGTGGAGAGAGGGTCCGTAGACAGCGAATCCGCTGTGCTTCATCAGATCACTATAACTCATGACCAGAAAGGGCCATGTCATCTCATCAAGGCTGATCCATATTCATGGAGATGGCTAATTGCGATGGAACAGTTAGCACTGATTTGGGGATAAAATTACCAGCAGTAACTTTATGAACATGATTAGACAGGTGACGGAGATGAATTTGAATAACCTTTCCAGGGCCTGCGTGTGTTGCTGTCTCACCCCATGTCATTCCACTCTTTAGAAGCACCCCGTCAGATTTCATCCAGGCTGGTAAAACTGTTACTGAAGTAAGGTCTGCTTGTAAGATTTGGTGGACAACTTAATGTGGTTAGACAATTGGAGACTTTTAAAATCTATGCATTGGCGGTTGGGTATCGTCGAATCTTTGCAGGAGCAGGTCTTTTTCTCCCAAGGAGATACTGGATAGATTCAAACTACCAACCTTTAGGTTTGCAGCTGAGTACTTAATTATTGGGCCACCAGAATTCCTTCTAAAACATCCAAGTCCCTCATTGCTGTGGGACTAGACTTCTGAGTAGCATCTGACTGTAGTTCAAGGAAACCCTTCTCTATCTTCTCTGGGTGGCATTAAAGAGCTAACAACACAGCCAACCGCAGACAAGAGATCTTTTCAAAGATGGCCACCCCTTATCTTGATTTACATGGCGATTCAACGTGTTCCTTACATTTTATCCTTTGATTTCTTTTTATAGACAGTGGGTATGTGGGGTTGGTTTCGTTTAAAACTTAGTTTTAAGAAAGGAGGCCTGGTGGCATAGTGGTTACCCATTGGGCTGTAATCCACATGGTCGGCAGTTCAAAACTACCAGCTGCTTCATGGGAGAAAGGCAGGGCTCTCTACTCCTGCAAGCAGTTATAATCTTGGAAACCCACAAGGGGTGGGCTATGAGTCGGCATCAACTCGATGGCAGTGAGTTTAGGCTTGAAGAAAAGAGACTGGTCTTTCCTATCCTGTGAGAAACTTAGCTGTGTGGACCCTGGTGATACGATATGGTCACCCCATTCTACTGGTTCCTTGGAGTTGATCTTAAACCGGGGAGAAATGCGAGAGATAATCATTCCGTATTTCACCCCTGAATCTACAGCTGAAACTCTTTCTCACGAAAAGCCAGCGTGGCAGCTGGTACGGTTGTTCTTGTTTTTGATGAACATAACCCAGTTGACTCTAGAATTCAATGTTCTTTGCCAAATAGCATCCGCAAGCCTGGATTGTCTGGATGGCAACCCGTCTGCAAGAGCTCATTTTCCTCAACTGGAGGCCTAACTGTTCTCACCTTGATCAGGCAGGTTTAGCCCTAGTGGAGTACCATCCACCCAGGGGCCAGCACCCCACCCCCACCCCCACCCCCCAGAGAGGGATTTTCACATTACATGCTTCCCAGAGGGTACATCCGGGGGCTGCTTTACAAGTCTGTTGGCAGCACAGGAACTTCCCGTCCACGAAGAACCCGCTGTGGTACTTGATCAGCAGATGGGGGTTGCCCCTTATCTCTGGGGAGCAGGAAGAAAGAAAACAAGACGTGAGCAAACGTTGACCCCAGAGAAGAAACACGCTCAGTCAGCCCCATTAGCACAGAACAATGGAAAGTCCGTCCTGCCAGCAACCACATGAAGCATACAGGGGCCCCGAAGGACTTAAGTCTCTTGCTCTGAAATTAAGAAGCCCAAATGGAAAAGAACAGTCTAAACATGTGTACAGGGAGAATGACACAAGAATACATCTCCGTCTTTTTAAAAAATACTGAAAATGATTCCTCTAGTTTAGTTTACAATTCTCAAGGAAGTGAGTGGGTTAGGGCATGAGCTGTTTGTGGCAGAAGGAGGGGGACAGGGTGGGGCTAGGTGAGAAGGTTTGAATAAACTTGTATTTATCTCCCACTTTTTATTTGGAAAAATTCAAATGTGCAGAAAAGTTACATGAATAGTACAATGGCCTTTCAAAGAGCCTCCACCAATTGCAGTGCACTGCCAAGTCGATTCTGACTCACAGTAACCCTCCAGGACTGAGTGGGACTCTCCCACAGGGTTTCCAAGGCTGGGCTCTGATCAGAAGCACATTCCCACCCCTTTCTCCCGCACAGTGGGTGGTGAGTCTGAAATGTTCACCTTGCCATCGGCAGCCGAACACTTCACCATTGTGCCACCAGGGCGCCTGTCCTTTATCTGGATTCACCAATTGTCAATTGTCGGCCACGCTTGCTTGGCCTCTTTTTATTTGTCCACACATAGTTCTCCTACTTATAATGATCACGTGATGCCTAATCATTGGAAAGTAATTTGCACTCTGATCTAAATAATGTCACTTATATGACATGTGGCTTTGATGAACAAGGACATATTCTTATGTGGAAAATTGTTGCCAGTTGTCCCAAGCATGCTATTTTTCATCTTGTCTTTCTTCTTCTTCTCTTTCTCTTTTGCTGCTTTAAGATCTAGTTCAGAATCACCCCTGCATTTAGTCATCTTGTCTCTTCAGGTTCCCTGGAATCTAGACTTTTTTTTCTTCTTTTCTCATTCCTTCTTATCTCTGTCATGACATTGACCTATGGCAGTGAGTTTGAGCCATTGGGGCGTCTAAGCCTCTGGGGACACTATAACAAACTACCACAAAATGGATAGCTTTAAAAAAACACCCACCAAAAGCCAGAAATGCATTCACTCCTAGTCTGGAGGCTAGAGGCTGAGATGATATACTAATAAAAATTAAAGGAAGTCATTATAGAGCTCATAAAAGCAAAAAAACAGTTCAGACGACAAAATCCAAGTATCTGATCTTGGTCCAGACCGTCATGATCATTCACTGAACAAATTCCCTGTCTCCCTGTTCTCTAAACTCCTTGTCTCCCCAGGTCAGATTCCCTATGCTTCCTGCTACTTTGATATTTTTTTCCGGGGTAACTAAGTCTTTCTCCATTGAAGTCCAAAGGTCCACAAGGCAGCATTCCAATAGCTAATCAGAACTCATACATGGATAGCACTTCCCCTTTACATAGTTTTATCCTCTCCACTACATTATCTCATTTAATCTATATAATAACCCTGGGGGCAGTTGTTCTTGTTATCTTGGCTCGTGCAAATGTAGGTGATCTGGGTTCAGAATGGCTCCCAATGCTATGTTCCTATTCTGACCCCCAGAATCTGTGAATGTGACCTTATTTTTCAAAGGGTCTTATCTGAGGTGATTGTGAGATGAGATTATCCGGGATGATCCAGAAGGCCTGACTTCAAAGAAGTGTCCTGATC